ACCAACAGGACCTGCTCACTCCCATCAGGTGCTCCATCCCTGTCCTCTCATCCCTGCCAGCCACCCGGAGCCAAGCCAAGGGGCCCGGTGGGAGCTGAGCGTTTCTCCTTGTGCAGGTCTGCGGTGCGGTCCCTGAGGGTGCTGCTCTGCAGCGTGGGCTTTGAGAGCCAGGCGCTGGCCATCGAGGCGCAGGGCGGCTGGGACGCCCTGCTCAGCAGCCAGACCCACCTCATGGGAGTGCGCATCGTGGCCAGGCGAGAGCCCCTTCTCCCCGCTCCTTGGGGATTGGGCACCCCATTCCACCCCCTCCCCCGGGGCTGATGGCAGAGGGGTCCCTGTTACTCAGAGAAAGTGCTGCAGACTGGTGATGTCCAGACTGGTGCAAACCCCAGAGATGTGCCCGTCCAGCTCAGGCCTGACAGTTCCTCCTTCTCCCTGCCAGGGAGATGATGAAGACCCCAAGACCCCTGCACTCCACCATCTTCTGCCATCTGGCAGAGCTCCTCACTGTGGAGGACTCCACCTGGGGGATGGTCGCCATGGTCTTCCTCATCGAGGTGAGCCTGATGGCACCTCTCCAGGCTCCCTCCGACGCTTGGCTCTCCCACACCTGCCGCTGCGGGGGCAGCTGGGGCAGCGGGTGTGCTCGGTTGGTACCGTGGAGAAGCAGGTGAACAACTGGTGTGGTGTGGGGCACAGGGGCTCTCCACAATCCCTGCTGCCTCCATCTGGGCTTGGGCTTCCCCCGGCGTCCTCGCCCTGAGCCAATGGAGCCAGCACCACACCTCGCCTGTTCCTGCTGCCTGTGTTTCAGATGCTGGGTGGCACTGATCTTGGTGAAGAGCTGGACCGTGCCCTGGAAATCTTCCCCACGTATCTGCGGAGCCAGTGCCTGGGGATGCCCAGCCTGGTGCTCAGGGCCATCCTCAGGCTCACCGAGAGGCCCAGCACAGTGAGTAGGGGACATCTGGGACAGCAGCCCGTGGAACAGTGGGCGGTGGGCAACGTGGCAGCTCGGGCTTTTCTGGGCATCAGGAGCTGTGCCGGTGGCTGCCAGCTCTCCTGCCTCCCTGGCCCTCAGCCCCATGGCTGTGACGTGCAAGGAGAGAGGCAGCAGTGCCGAGGGGAATGAGTTCCTGCTGCCAGCACGTCCCAGGAGGGATGCTGGCATCAGAGCGACCAACCTGAGCATGGGGTCTGCAGAGCCTGGCCGGGGGGTGCCGAGAAGCCAGAGGGGAGGCCAGCGTTTGTGGTTTTCACCCCTGTGATTGGTCGCTGCTTTACAAAAAGGAGGTGACACGCCTCACACAGGCAGGGAAAACCCTTGACCTGTGGCACGTCTCACACAGGCAGGGAAAACCCTTGTCCTGCTGCCGTATGTCATGGAGCGGCTGCAGGGTGCTGACGGTGATGCCACGGCGCTGCTTGTGCTCAGCAACATGCTCCAGCTGCTGGGGGGTGAGATGCCCAGCCCCACCGCCCTGGCGCTGGCTGGCAAGCTCCGGCCGTTCTTCGACAACGTAAGGCTGGGGGAGAACCCCGCGGCCCCCTCACCAGGCACTGACATTCGTGCCTCCCACCACAGCCCCCATGTTCCGCAGGGGGATGCTTTGCCCCACAGCCCCAGACCTCATTGCTGTCCTTTGCGGCTTCGTGCTGCATCCCAAACCCCCTGCATGGACTCACTTCGGGGGACGGTGGTGGCAGGATGGCAGCAGGCGTGCTGAGCCCCGCCAACTCACACCCTGCCCTGGCAGCATCCCCCAGCCCTCTACAGGGCATCCTTCTCTGGCCCCCAGCCCCAGGGACCTCAGGCCCCCCTGGCAAGCCTTCTGCAAGTCTCAGCTCGCTCCTTTTTGGAGCAAGGCTGCCTGTGGCTGTTCTTGGGATGTCTATCCCCACGTCAGCTCCTTGCTCGCCATGGGCTTGGGGCTGAGATCCTACTTCCCTCCTCTCCCAGGAGTCGGACGCTGTGCGGGAGCTCTCCATCCGTCTCTTCCAAAACACAATGGGGCTCGTGGTGGGCGCTGAGGAGAAGAAGATGGAGAAGGAGGTGTGGGACAGCCTGCTGCCACTGCTCCTTCACCTGCATGACCAGGACAAGAGCGTGGCCAAGGTGGGATTCCCAACCTGACCGATCCTTTGCGAAGGGCAATGCTGACATTGGACCCTTTAAATGTGTGTCACCGTGAGGTCTGGCTTGCTGAGTCTGTAGGACCAGGCAGAGACACCCCCCCTGCCCACTGCTGCTTTTCTCCTCCTGCTGCCCGGATGGATGGGGAGGTGGGTCCCTTTCCCACCCAGCTCCCTCCGCACAGCCCCTGACATGGGTCCCTGCAGCCCCAGAGACTGGGCTGTGGCTCTGCATCAGCCTGGGGCCACCAAGGCAAAAATGTTGAAGCCCTACGGGCTTCCAGCCAGAGAGGGTGACTGCCCTTATCCTCCCCTGGTGCTCTGAACTTGGTGGCAGCATCAGTCGCCAGCTGGTGCATTTTCCCTGCATGGGCTGGGACAGGCTCTGAGCCCAGCCAAGAGGGGGGACCCAGGGTCCTGTGCTGCTGGTGGCGATGGTGGCATCTCCGCTGCTCACCAGGCCTCCCAGGAAGTCCTCTGCAGCGCTGGCCGGTTCCTGAGGTGGGGGCAGCTGGTGCAACTGGCCAAGGCTGCGCAGGCATGGAGGATCGGCGAGTGCCTGGTAAGCAGAGCCCCAGCACCCCGGGATCTGCCTGGGAGAGCCCTGCCCTGTGCCCAGCGGCGGGGACGGAGGGTTGTGCACCCTCCTGGAGCAGGCTCTGCGCCAGGCTGTCCTTACCTCTAGGGTCCCAAAGGGGACCCTGACACCAGGATGGCACCCCAGCATCCCCGGGGAGCGCTCTGCTCCCTCTGAACTCCAATGCCACATGGCAGGGAGCTGGGAATGTCCTGATGGGGGGGAAGAAAGGTGGCCCTGGGTGGGGGGGGACAGCCTGACTGGGGGGTAGCTATGCACCAACCCTGCACCCTTCTCCTCTTTCCAGCTGGTCAGGAACAGGAGAAGGGCCAATGACTACCTGCACCAGAGCCAGCCCTACCTGCAGAGCCCACAGGAGCCCCTGCGGCTGGAGGCTGTCAGGTTCATCGGTGAGCCACGAGCCCCAGGGTCCCTCCCTCTTCCCGGGGTCCTGTGTCCTGGCACAGGATCTGCGGGGAACCCCTTCACCCCCCCACACCCCTGCCTGTCTGGGTGGGGCTGGCAGGGGGCTCATCCACCCCCCACTGACGCTGCCCACCGGGGTTGAGCCCTCCCCAGGGAGCTGTGCAGCCAGGTGGACTGGGTGGTGGGGTCCCCGATGGGCAGCGGGGTCCCCAACACGTTGTGTCCCCCCCAGGGATCATCGGACGACATGTGGATGATGATGAGCAGATGGAATACATCAGAGAGGGTGAGTGAGGGCAGCAGGGAAGAGGAAGGACCCCAGCACAGAGCTCCCAGCCAGCCCAGGCAAGGGGGGCTCTGCTCCCAGCATATCTATGGGGAAGGGGTATTTCTGGAGGGGGCTATTCCTGAGCAGCAGCCTCCAGCCCAGCCACCCACCCCCTGCCTCTCTCCTGGCCCTGGAAAACATGGGGTGCAGGGTTCCTTGTCTGGAGGGGACACAGGGCTGTCACCTCACCTCTGCTGCTTTGTCCCCGCAGTCCTTCAAGGCCCAAAGAAAGATCCCAGCCCACTGGTCTCCTCCCTGGCAACTCAGACAGTCCTCATCCTTGGATGAGGAAGACTGCAGGTGAGGTTTAACCTACAGTGGCTGAGTTTACAGCTGCAAAGGGCATGGATGAGGTGGCACTAAGCTCCCCATGAGGAATCTGCTCAGGCAGAGGTGGAGCAGCAGCCCCAGCTCTCAGAAGCTCTGCGGGCTGGGGTGTCTCCTCTTCCCAAAGTCTAACAGGAAAGAAGAGACCCCAGCCCCAGTGAAGCCGGCATCCTCCGGAGAGCGGCAGGATAGTCGCTCTTTGCAGCGGCCCAGGGCAACGCCACCCACACGCTTCGCCTTTGCCACAAAGCACCAGCTGCTCTGCTGGGTTGCGAGGGAAGGAGCCAAAGAGCAGAAGCCGAAGTTGAAACTGCAGCCTTCCCTCCCCTCTGCAGGGCCACTGCAGGCTAAATCATATTTTTTGCCTCCCACCATCCGAGGAGCCTGCGCTGCCTGGGGCTGATGTGGCCGAGCCTGGCAGATATGAAGCCACTGATGCTCTGGCTCCAGCTGCATTGTCCCCTCCATGTCCCCAGAGGGAAGGACAGCTCTGCCTCCTGCCCGTGCCACCCGTCCTCACCAGCCCTGCAACCGCTCCTGCCGGGGGACGACGAGTCATGAGAGCATTGGTTAGAGGCCACACCACGAAACCAAGCCCTCAGTGGAGCTCCCCCAAAGGGAGAGACCCGCCAGCAGTCAGTGGCCCCTCCAGGGAGCTGGGGGAACGCGTGGCCACGCTCCTTGGCTGTTTATCCCTGGGGAAGTGAGCCTGTCGCCTTGCAACAGGGTGCTCCCGCTGTCCTTCCACACCTCCCCGGGCGCCAGAGAGGAAAGAGACTGAAGGCGCAAAATAAAGTTTTGGCACCAGAGCAGGCTTTAGCTCTTCAGAGCATCACCAGCCACCGCCGGCACGGCCACAGGACCAGCGGGGTTCAGCGGGGACCCCCTGCCCCCCCCAAACCCGCGAGGGGTCCTGACCCCGCACCCCCGGGGCTGGGAGTGCCGCCCCGAAGGGGCGGGGACAGCGGCGGGGGCGGGGCTAAGGGCAGAGGGGGCGGGACGGAGCCGGCGCGGAGCGAATGGCGTGGCTACCGGAGTGACAGCGCGGCCCGCCGCTAGGAAGCCAGGAGCGCGCTCCCGAGGGGGGGGGAGGCGGAGCCGTAGGGTGGGCGGGAGGCGGGGCCCAGCCGCCTGCAGCTAATAGGCGCTGCCGGGGCGTGGCCTGGCCGCCGGGGCGGGGCGGGCACCGCGTGCGGCGGCGGCGGCAGCATGGCGGCGGCGGGCGGCAGGAGGGCCAAGGGCCAGCGCGGGGCGGCGGGACGGCGGCGGCCGCGGGCGGCGGTGAGGGCCGGGCCGGGGGCGGAGGAGGGGGGCAAGGGGGGGCTGCCCCGGCGGGGGTCGCCGCGCCCGGCCCGGCCCGGCCCGTCCCGCCGATCACCCCGGTTCATCCCGCAGGTCCCGGGCGTCGAGGGGAGGCCGCGGGCGGCGGCCGGTCGTCCCGTCGACGAGGAGGTGTCCAGCGACTCCGAGCCGGAGAGGTAAGGGCTGCGCGGGGAGGGGTGCCGGTGCCGGTGCCGGTGCTCACGTGTGTCCCCGCAGCCCGGCGTTGGGGCGACGGCGGCGGCGGGAGGCGGCGGCGGCGGCGGAGGAGGAGGTGGATGAGACGCCGCAGGAGAAGAAGCTGCGCCTGGCCAAGCTGTACCTGGAGCAGCTCCGGCAGCACGGTGAGCCCCGGGCGGCCCCCGGTGCCCCGGCGGGGCGGCCCCGGGCGCTGAGCCCGGCCCTCATGGGCTGTGTTCGCCGCAGAGGAGGAGCGGGCGGCGGCGGAGGAGGAGGAGGACGCCCAGCCGGCGGATCTCATCGGCGACCGGCTGAAGGAGGACGTGGTGGGCGACGGGGGGGCTCCGGGAATGTCACCTCGGTCCCGGGGGCGGCAGCGGGCTCTGTCCCACTCCTCCCGCGGGGCCCGGGCCACCGCTGAGCCTCCCGCTTCTTCCCCAGCTCGAGCAGAAGGGCCGGCTGCAGCGCCCGGTTGCCAAAAATGTAAGTGCCCAGCGCGGCGGGGGGGGGGGGGGGGGGATGGTGCTGGATCATAAGTGCTGGCTTTGGGGGGATGCTCAGGCACGGCCGTGAGTCGCCACGCTGGCTGCGGGAGCGGGGCCCTTCTCCCGCCCGGGGTGCCATGCTGGTGCCCCGCGCCCGGGGAAGGGGCCGGGGCAGCCCCGCGCAACGTCCCGCTCTCCCTGCAGGTGCAGCCTCCAGACCCGGCCAGCATCCGCGTGCTGCGGGGGCACCAGCTGCCCGTCACCTGCCTGGTCGTCTCTCCAGACGACAGGTTCATCTTCTCCGCCTCCAAGGACGGCTCCCTCATCAAATGCAAGTGTTCCCCTGGCCTGAACCCTGCGCTTAGCCCCGGGGATGTGCGCGTACATCGTTTCGGGATCTGTGGGAAGCCCCTCGGTGCTTTCCGGAGTGGCAGGAGGCTCCCGGGGGGGTGACGGCGATGCCTTTCCCGTAGGGGAGGTGGAGAGCGGGAAGAGGCTGTGCGTGGTGCCTGGGGGGAAGAAAGGTACCGAGGAGCGGCACATGGGGCACGCGTCCCACATCCTCTGCATGGCCATCTCGTCGGATGGCAAGTACCTGGTACGGGGAGTGGGGGCTGGCGCTGCTGCGTGGGGCGTGATTTTTCTCCCGGGGTCCTGGGGGCAGCGTCTCCTGCTTGGGTTAAAGCACTACCCCCACTGGAGTCAACAATCAGGTCCCTGGGATCCCCCAGAGCACGTGGGGTGGGAGTGGAGGCTGGGGCGGGCCGTGGGTCGCCGAGGGGCAGGTCTGGGGCATCCCCTGCTGTCTGCCAGGCCACGGGGGACAGGAACAAGCTGATCATGATCTGGGACGCGGTCACCTGCAAGCGCCTGCACATCTTCACCGGGCACCGCGACGCCGTCTCGGTGAGTCGGGGGAATCGGCCGCGATGCCGGCGGCACCGGCAGCTGCGTCCTCCCAGGCGCCCCTCACTGCTGCGCCCGGCCGTCTGTCCGCAGGGTCTGTCCTTCCGGAAGGGCACACACGAGCTGTACAGTGCCTCCCATGACCGCTGTGTCAAGGTCTGGAACGTGGCAGAGAACGCATACGTGGAGACTCTGTAAGACCTGGGAGCCGGGGGGGGGGGATCCCACTGACCCGGCAGCCCCGGGGGAGGCGAGGTGGCAGAGGGCCCTGCTTGCCACAGCTCTGTGCCATCTCCTCCTTCAGGTTCGGGCACCAGGATGTCATCACGGCGCTGGACTGCCTGAGCCGGGAGTGCTGTGTGACAGCGGGGGGACGGGACGGCACCGTGCGCCTCTGGAAGATCCCCGAGGAGTCGCAGCTCGTGTTTTACGGGCACCAGTACGTCTGGGGTGGGAGAAGGGGGGCTGTGGGCGGGTGGGTCTGGCTGGGGCAGCTCTGTGCGGGAGCGAAGCATTGCCGGGAGCCTGCCAGCCCCCTGGGGCTGCCGATGCCCCGGTGAGCCCTTGTCTCCTAAAGAGGATCCCAGAGCACACTCCTGACTGCTGGCAGCCACCCCTTCTCTTCGCAGGGGCTCCATCGACTGTATCCAGCTCATCAACGAGGAGCACATGGTGTCGGGTGCTGATGATGGGTGAGCACGGGGGCCGGGACGGTGCCCAGGGTGGCCAGGCCATGCCCCCCTCACCCCTTCCCTCCCTGACAGGTCCATAGCCCTGTGGGGGCTGACAAAGAAGAAGCCGCTGGCGCTGGCCCAGCAGGCCCATGGCATGCAGGACGCCCAGGGCCTCCAGCAGCCTTACTGGATCTCGGCGGTGGCCGCCCTGCGCAACAGTGACCTCCTGGCAACAGGTGTGTGGCAGCCGCTGTAGGGCAGGGGTTTGGGGGGGATGCAGGTGGGGGTCTCGGGGTGCATGGCAGTCTCCTCTCTGCCCCAGGTTCCCACAGCGCCAGCGTGAAGCTCTGGAAGTGTGGCGAGGGATTTCGGAAGCTGGAGCCTCTCTGGGACATCCCCTTGGTATGGACGGGGAGGTTGGGGGATGCTGGGCTGGCAGCGGGGGGATATCTCTTGGCAGGGGCTCCCCTCCCTGGGTGGCAGGAGGAGGCTGCGGGAGCCCCTCACCCCTGCCTTGTCCCCCCAGGTGGGTTTTGTCAACAGCCTCAAGTTCTCAGCAGCTGGCGACTTTCTGGTGGCCGGCCTCGGGCAGGAGCACCGGTACCATCCCCACTCCCCAGCACTGATGAGGGGTGCAGCCCCCTCTTCTTGTCCTGTGCTTGGCAGAAGGTGACCCCCCCATCTCTCATCTACAGGCTCGGCCGGTGGTGGAGAATCAAAGAAGCCAAAAACAGCATCTGCATCATCCCCTTGAAGCAGAGGGCTGCAGCCTCCAGCCCTGAAGGCCCTGACAGCTCCTAGCCCTCTGGCCCGGAGCCGCCAGAGCTGGGTTATTAAACCCCTGGCCCTGGAGCTGTGTCCTTCGTGCAGCCGCCCTCCTGGGGCCGGTGGGACGTGATATCGTAATGGGGCCCTGCCCTCTGCGAGGGTTTGCCCCCTTTCCTCATGTTCAGCCGGACCTGAGCTCTGAAAGGGTCCATTTTTAAAAAAAAAAAAAAAACAACCAAAACCACTTTATTTACATAAATTACAAAAAAAAAAAAAAAAAATCACACTATTGCTCACAGAAAAAAAAATCTACTCTTAAAAACTTGATTGGGCTTAAATACCTGGTCCTGTTACTTGCCCTCAGCCCCTGCCAGACCCACCCTGGGCTCTGCAGGGGCCGGGGGAGCAGCCAGTGTTTGCCCCCTCTCCTGCCCCATCTCCCACAAAGGGGTGAGCAGCGCTACACCCAGCGCGGGGAGGGATGGAGGGGGCTTGGGCCCAGCCCGGCAGCATTCGGCAGCTTTCCTGGCGCCAAAAATGAGGAGGAAAAGGTAAAACTGCAAAGCGCTGCAGGGAGGGTGACACGGGGAGGGGGGGGTCGGGAAAGGCCCTGCATTGGGAAAGCAGGGTGGGCGATGGGTGAGGGCAGGGTGTGGGGGCACAGGGCTCGGCGTGGAGGGAGCGGGAGGTGCAGCGTGGCTCGGTGCAAGCGAAGTGGGTGAGGAGGAGTCAGGTTGTGCACCAGGGCTGGGTGAAGGTGGGGTGTGTGGGGGGGCTGGATTTTGCCCCAGGGCTCAGTGCAAGGGACAAGGTGGGGGGCTTGCACCACAGTTCGGTGCAGGGACTGGAGGCATTGCACTACAGCTCAGTGCGAGGGATGGGGAGGGAGGGGGGACACACATGCACCATGGCTCAGTGTTGGGGGGGCAGGATGTACACCACGGCTCAGTTGAAGGGGGGGGGGGACTTTCACCATGGCTCAGTGCAGGGTGTGTGGGGGGGGGATGTTCACCATGGCTCAGTGCAGGGGACAGGGGCTGTGTAACGTGGCTCAGTGCAAGGGAAGGGTGACACAGACCGTGACCCAACGCGTGGGATGTGTAGCTCGTGCGGGGGGTGGGGGGGGGGGCTGGGGCTGAGCTTCCCAGCTGCCTCAGGCACCCGAGTGGGCCAGGCCGTGGGCACTGCTTTCCCTGGGGAGGGAGCCGGGATGCGGGGTGGCCGCAGGCAGGAGCAGCAGCACCATGGCCCCCCCTCTCCCAGCCCCGTCCTTCACAAGGATGATGTCGTGGAGTCCACCACCTCGCGACCGTTGCACACCGTGGGCACGTACTGCGAGGCCGAGCCTGGCCGGGAAGGCAGCAGTCAGGGGTGGGTTGGGGTCTGGCAGCAGCAGGTCCCCAGGGCATCCCACTGGGGTGGGTGATGGGTGCCTGGGGAGCTGCACCCCCCCCTGGGGCTGGGGTGGAGGGTGCCCACGTCCCCCCAGGGTGATGACAGGCACGGGGAGGGGGGGCAGCTGATCTCCTAGGGTTGGGGTGGAGGGTGCCCAGGGATGGCTGTGTCCCCCCAGGGCTGGGGTGGAGAGTGCTTGGGGTGACTGTGGCCCCTCAGTGCAAGGATTTTCCCGCCCCCCCCCGAGCAGTTACCCCTCTGTCAGGCCATGCTGCGGCCTTTGGGCTTGCAGCCCCAGGAGATGGGGTATTGGGTTAGGGGACAGATGAGCCGCAGGGGACACAGCATCCTCCATTCCCCCATCTCCAGCAGCGCCCTACCCCACACCCTGCTTTCCTTCAGGGGCCCATGCTGGGTGTTCCCGCCTCCCCTGCCCTCCCCCAGCCCCACCGTGCTCACCGTGGGACTGGCTGGAGCTGGCGGCCGCCACGCTGAACCGAGCGGTGCCGACACGGTGGCTGGCCACGTTCTTCTGTGGCTGGAAGAGTATGATGTGGAGCTTGGGGGTGAAGAGGCAGCCGAGGACCACGGTGCCGCTGAGGCTCACCGAGATGCACATGGTGGTGGTCTGGACCTGGAGGCGGGGGGGGGTGTCAGGTGCTCCTGCCACCAGCCCTCTGCCCCGAGTGGGGCAGGATGAAGCCCTCACCGTGGCACCGACTGACCCCACCGGGCAGAAGCTGCTGCCTGCACCCCCATGGGGACATCCCACCCCACCTCAGGTCCCTCCATCAGGGTGGACCGGCTGGACACCCACGGGCAGAAGATGGGCACTGCCTTGATGGGGACGTGGCACCCCAGCAAAGTGGGCACACCCTGAGTAGCACCCCCAGCCTTGCCAACATGCTGCTTTGGGGCAGTACCTAGGGCCAGAGCCTGGCACCCCCCACGCCGGTGCCTGCTCCCACCAGGGCACGCAGGTCCTCTCTGGAAGCCCCCAGCTGCAGCTGCCCCCACTGAGTCCAGGCCCATCAAGAATGCGTCTGGGTGCCCTTGCCAGGGGGGTTGAGGTGCTGCAGGATGCACTCCGTGTTCCCCAGCCCCTGGCACTGCTCAGCTCCCCAGGGACCATGCTGGCCCTGGGGTTGGCATTCACGCCGTGGGGGGGGGGGGGGGGTTGTGTCTGGATGGGCCAGGGGTTGTCTTGTGCCTTCATGCTGTGAGGCTGAAGGATGGCAATCGCTCCTCTGTGGTCAGGTTGGGGAGGCTCTGGAGGTCTCAGGGTTATTTTCCAGCCTCACCCTAGCAAACGGTTTGTCAAGGCGGGGGGTTTCTTATCCCTAGGACCCACTGCCCTCTCAGCCACAGCCCTTCAGCCACCTTTCACCTGGTCCCGAACGCCCCGATGCAGAGGTGACCATCACTAGGTCCAGGTCTGACAACCCTTCCCCAGGCCCATGCATCTCCTAGCTACAAACGCCATGGGGCCCAAATCGCCAGGACCGCTCAGATCAAGCTCTATTAGAAACCCCCCCCAAAAAAAACCTGAGGCTCTTACTCGGTAGTCACTGGAGGTCACGTAGAAGATGGGCAGGAAGGCCAGCCAGATGATACAGGTTGTATACATGGTGAACCCAATGAACTTGGCCTCGTTGAAGTTTTCAGGGCATTTCCGTGTCTTGAAGGCATAGACCGTGCAGAGGACAATCAAGAGGACATTGTAGGTGAGCGAAATGAGCATGTTGGAGTCACGGTTGTTGCACTTGAGGGTGACGATGTACCTCTTGTCAGGCTCGGTCTCCTTGCCTGTGCCGGGGGTCTCTACCAGCAGCCAGATGATGACGATGATCAGCTGGCACGAGATGAGGGCCATGCAGATGACCACCTGTGATGTGGGGCTTATGAACCGGGGGCGCTGGACCCCCTCTTTCACCCCACTGAAGATCCTGGCGATGCGATTTGTCTTGGTCAAGAGGGCCGAATAGCAGACGGCAAATGACGTTCCCAGCCCCAGACGCCGCAGCGTGCACACCTCAGTGGAGGGCTTCGCGATGAAGATGAAGGTCATGCTGTAGCACATGAGGACCCCGGTCAGGAGAATGTAACAGAGCTCCCGGCCAGAGGCCTTCACGATGGGGGTGTCATTGTTCTTCATGAAGACTCCGAAAACAAAGAGGGTGGAGATAAAACCCAGGCAAGAGATAGTGACGGGACCAATGGCCCAGACATCTTTCCAGCGGATGTACTCTTGGGGCAACTCGTAGCAGCCATTCAGTGTCTCGTTGGGCCAGTAACCGAGACCACAGTCCATGCAGGTGAACTCATCCAGCAAGTACTCGTAAGGCTGGCAGGGGATGCAGATCCAGCAGCATATGTCTCCGGGCTGCATGCTCTTTATCTCATTCTTCTTGCAAGGGTCGCTGCACTGGGACACGGGGATGGAGGTCTCAGCCCACGAGATGAGGCTGGTGTTGAGGCTGAGCCCCTCAGCCCAGTAGCCCACCTTCTGGTACCGATACCGCCCGTCCACGTGGTGATAGTTGAAGATGTTGTAGCGCCCGATCCCATCGCCGTAGCGATCAAATCGAACGACACTCTTGGTGTCTGCTGGCCTGAACGGAGCTGGAGGGAGGAGAAGGGGAGACAGTCACTGTCACGGGGCAGGAGAGCACTCGCTCCCGGCATAGAGGCAGGGCTCCTACAAAGGGTCACACCCCACCATGGCTACAGGCAAATGTCCAACCTGCCCCCGGCCTTCACTCTCATGCTCGCTGTCTGTGCACACCTTAGGCGCAGGAAAGCAAAAGTGGAGAACTACCACCCCATGTGCCCAAGGGCTCGGCAGCCTCAGCCAGCTCTGCAGGGGCAAAGCGGGGGATTTTGCAGCCTCCGTGGCTCTCAGTGACACCTGGGTAGCCAGGATCAGCCCAAGTCACAGAGGACATGCTTCTAATTCACCTCAAATTATGTGGGTTCTTGATCAAGCATAATCCTCCAGTTTAATCACTGAAACGTGAATAAATCATGATGCTTGCAAGTGAGGTCTCCAAGGACCCATGTTCTTGGAGGGTCCCTCGTGGGGCTGGTCCCACCCAGCTGTAGCAGGAGGGAATTGATCACCAGCTTCCTCACACTGGGGACAGAAGGCCTGGATTGCCTCTCACAGGTGATGGTGGGCTGTTGGCATCCTGGGACAACCACAGCCCACAGCACGGGTTCCTGTGTAGAGGAATTGGAGAGTCTTGGGTCTTTGGGTCTCCTGCTTCTTCCCTGCCCCTCCACCCATCCCTTTCCAGTCAGGAACCCTCTGGACTCACCGTCAAAATTAACATTGAGCATAAAGTCCTTGTAGAACCTCTTGCCATTGACGGGCTTCATGGCATCGCAGAGCCTGGTGGAGTTGGGGCACAGCGCCCGGTGCATGTTGTGGAGAGAGTGAGCCATGGCATAGACCGCATTGACCACAAACGTGATCTTGGACTCTGGCTCAAACTTGCCTGTCTTGAGGGAGTACCGGCTACAGTCCTGCGTGTGGAAGCTACACTTGAACTTCTGCTCCCAAAACTCCCGAAACCAGGGATTTCGGCTGTTATTGTAGGGGTTGAGATTGAGGAAATAGGCAGCAAACTCCTTAATGGGGTAGGCTGCCAGCTCAATGGTGATGGCTCCCTCTGCCACCGCTTCGCTCCCAGCCACCACGCTCTCCAGGGCTCCCCACCCATCACTGGCCACCCACGTGAAGGACACGTTGGCTCGCTGGGCAGCTGCCAGAAGCTCCCGGGCATCTTCGCTTCGCGTGAACAACACGACCACTCTGGCATTGGGCTTCTGCAGCAGAGCCCGGACCACCCCATCGTAGGTCTTCTTGTTCATGGAGCGCCCCACCTTCTCCGAGGTGGCGATGCAGATGTTGCGCATGCGGGCTTCTTGCTCAAAGGCCTCGATCCCCGTCTCCCCGTAGTCACCCTCCGAGGCGACAGTGGAGACGTAGGTCCAGTTGAAAAAGCGGAGGATCTCTGCCATGGCTTTGGCTTGGTAGAAGTCTGGCGGGACAGTGCGGGCGAAGTAGTCGTAGCGGGACTTGTCGCTGAGCTTGGCGCTGGTGGAGGCATAGCTGATCTGCGGGATCTGGAAGAGCCGCAGCAGGTTGGCCACCTGCGTGGAGGAGGAGAGGTGAGTGCCTGAAGACATGGCCCAGTGAGACCCTCCCACCGGAGGACCCTTGCCCAACACCAAGCGTTGCATGGTGCTCCCAAACACAACCATGGGGCTGATGAGCAACCCCCTGCCCACTCGGAGGGTCCTGGTTGGTGGACGGATGGACGGATGGCCGGGTGGCACATTCACAGGGATTCCTGAGCCCTCTGACATGCTCATTTTTTTTTTTTTTTTTTTTTTTCATTATTTCACGCACTCTGCTCTGAAATTTGGGACTGGGGAGGTGATAAATGGATTTGTGGCAAAAGCAGACACTCCCCCACAGGTGACCTGTGGGAGATGCTTGTTGACAAGGAGAAAGCCAGGGTGCCTGGCAGCCCCACGGCACGGGGGGGAAGGGATCTGGGGGCTGGGAGCCAGGGCAGAGCCCCCCCCGCCATCTGCAGAGCTGACCCTGGGGACCAGCACCTGCGCATCCCGCATCGGGATCCCCAGTGGGACCAGCACCTTCCAGCCACTCGGCAGAAGCCCTCGTTACCTTCAAAGGGGAAAAAAAGCCCTGCTAATGAGGCTGCTAAAAACCCAGGCTCTTGGAGCAGCAGTGGGGGGGCTCGGGTGTGCTGGCGGGGCTGGTGAACCTTCCCACATCTCACTGCTCCCCAGGCGAGAGACGCAGCTTAATTAACTTGGACAAATGTTCTCAACGACAGAGTCCCCTAATGGCAAGAAGGCCCCCGAGCGCAGCGATGCTGCTGCCCGGCCTCACCGCGCGACGGGAGCTGCCAGCCCGCTGTGCCACCCCAGCACCGCTCGCGCTCCCCGGGGTGGGGACGGTGTCCCCAGCCGTGGGGACACGCCGGGTACTCCAGCAAGGGAAGGGATAAACGCCCGTGTGGGCTGGATTGGGGTGCTGCCTCCATCACCCGGCCCCAGCTTCCTCCGCCCCACGGCGGGGGGGATGCAGGGACCCCGGGGACCAGCAGTCATGGTTTGACATGCTCTGGGGACTCATTAAAATTTAGCGAGCACGTAGCCCACCGGCAGCCCCCAGGACCCAGCCATGCCCGCCGGCTGCCTGCATCCTCAGGGGATGGCTTCTCCCTGCCGAAGCCAGCCTCTGCGTCCCCAGAGCCGCGGTTTTGGGGACAGAGCTGCACCCCACCCCGGGCGACAGCTGGATCTGAGGCTCGAAGTGCCTGTTGCTGTGGGATCACCGGGGACGGGGGGGAGGCAGCCCCCTGTGCCCACCCTGCCCCAGCAGCAGCTGCCCCACGCAGCACTATGCTGGCCAGGAAGGGACAGCTGTGGCCATCCAGGCTTGGTGGCATCGCGCTGTCACCCATCAGCGGGAGGAGCAGCACCCAGGGGCACTGGTGGCACAGGTCAGGCAGGAGAGGGACAATGCCCTTCTCCAGGCCCACACCAGGACTTGGCAGGCCAGGGACCGGGACTGGTGCTGCCAGGAGGTGGCTTGCACCATCCAGGCCCTCTGGCAGCAGCGAGTGACGTGGCAGCATGGTGGCACCGAGGGTGGTGAGGACCTGAGCATCGAGATCACCCTGGGCTGAGGAGCTGCGCTTGCTGCTGTGACCCCAGGAGGGAAATAAACCCCCACCCCTGCGTGGGACGGATCCACCGGCTTGGCTCCCATGGCTTATGGCAGGTGGGGGGGCCTCCCCGCAGCCCCCAAGGGGACCCTGGCCACCATCAGGGCTGCAGCCCCCCCCTCCCCAGGTAGCAGAGAGGCGGCTGTCTCAGGTGACAGGCTGTCATTCCCTCCCCATTGCAGAAAGGGGCAAAGAACCACGGTGAAGGACACGAGACCATCCCTGTGCCACACTGGCAGCACCACCATCACGCTGATACCAGGATTTTACCCCCCACCCTCACCATTTCTGCTGCCCGAAAACCCCCAGCCCCATACGAACTCCCCTTGCCTGGGGGTTACCTGGATGGAAACATCACTGTAGGAGCCCCCGATGACGCCGGTGATGGCGGTGGGCACATCGTCGTGGACGGCATAGGAGCCGTCGGGGCAGATGTGCTCAGAGCCGTCCACCCTGGTGAGGGAGGCGCGGACAAAGTCGAGGGACTGCTCGAGGGCATAGGTGTCCTTGGAGCACGTGTCGAGAATGTGGGCGCCCAGCCTCACCCCCGGCAGGATGCTCCCGTCCTTGTTGATCTCGTCCAGGGCGAAGAGCATGGCCTCCAGGCGCTGGATGCCCCGGTGCTCATTGATTTTTCCACAGTCTTCGCTCCCCACTCCTTTCTCATGGACAGGGAAGAGGCCCCCGATCACCAGGTCCCCGTCCATGCTGATCTCCTTTTTGCCAGCCGTGCCGTGCCCGGCGGCCAGGCAGGCGACCAGGCGCATCAGCCAGAGCCAGGCGGCCAAGGGGACCGCCATGGGGTGCGCTGGCGGGGCACCCGCGCCACCCCGTGTCACCCGCTGCCACCCGTCAAGGCGAGGGCAGGCGGTCCCCAGGCATCGGGTGGCGGGGGGGGGGGCGCGGCGTGGTGTCAGCGGGACGGGGCGGGGGGGTCGCACTGCCCCGGCAGAGCCCTCGGCACCTGGAAAAGCAAAGAGAAAAGTCACTGGGTCTGCAGGCTGCAAGGCGAGACAGGGACTGTCCCCACAGGCAGGGCTAGTGCCGCATGGGCGAGCAAGGGCATGAGACTGCCTGTGCCCCCCACCCCAGTTCCCCCTGACCTTAGGAAGGATCCACCCCCCCCCCCAAAAGGGTGAGCTGAGCAGATGCGACAGCTCCCACAGTGACCTGGGACCCCCAGGACACCTGCAAGTGACACAGACCCCGGGATCAGTCCCCACTGAGTGCTCCCTGGGATGCACCGGCGTGGGCAGGAGGGCACAGAGCTGGCTTCCGCAGCAGCACCGGGCAGAGCAGCCTGCCGGGGGAAAGCCTGCTGACCCCTAAAACACTGGGGAGGCGGGAAGGATCCAGGTAGGTCACCTGGGACAGGGAGCCCAGGCTGGGAGGGCAGAGCCAACGCCAGCTCTGAGCCGAGCCCCCGACCCGTGCAGCGGCATCAGGGGTGCAGACAGCTCCCGACCTCCAGCCACGAGCGCTGCCAAAAGCAGCCGGCCACAAGCCCACCATGCCCGCAGCACCCAGCCACCACTGTATTTTAATCCCCATCCTGTACCCCCAGAGCCCACCCGCCCTCCTGCTGCCCCCAGTGCTGCCCGCGGCACCGGGGCTGGAGCAGAGACACGCCACTGGCTTCATCCTCCCGCAGCGATGCGCGGGGTGGGCTCCGGCAGCCACGGTGCTTTGGAGTCTGTTCTCTCACCACCGCCCCTTCCTTCCCTGTATACTAAATTCAGAGATTTCAGTAAAAAGTAAGAGCCAGGTTTGCTGACTCCCTCTGCAGAAAGCACGGAGGCGCGGGGGAATCAAAGGCTTTTGCAGCAGGCAGGCCTTTTTTTGGCAGGAGATGCAGTCCCCTCGGAGATCAGTTGTCTTTTCCCAAACCATGGGAGAGATTTGTTTCCCATTTGAAACTGACTGCTGAAATCCCGCAGGGCTGGCGTTTCGGGGACCATGAGAGAAGGACACCCCCTGACAGCCCAGAAACCTCCAGCTGCTCCGGTGTGGGAAGCTGCCGGTGCTGCAGCGGGTCCCGGGGCTCACCCGCAGCCCGGCAGAGCGGGGTGCTCGTGGGGACACATGGGGTGGGAGGGCGATGCCGGAGAGTGCTGCCCCCCCCCCGCAGCCCCCTGCAGCCCGTACCGAGGCCGCTCTCCACGAGCAGGAGCAGGGCACCCCTCGATGCCCCTGTGGTGCTCCTGGGCAGGCGATGCCCGTGGCTGGAGGAGCCCTCCTGGCAAGCAGCTGGAGCTGGTGGTGACGCCCAGGGGGATGCGGGCACAGGGCGTAAGGGGGTGGGGTGGCGCGATGCTCGCAAACCTCCTCTGCCTCTGTGCCCCAAAGTGCTTGTCCCCAGGTGCTGCCTGCCTGTAACAAGCCCCCAGCTGCCTCAGGGCATCTCCTATCCGCTCCCCAAATTTGAAGGGGGTTGGGGAAGAGGCTGAGGAAGGGTCCCTGCCTTATTTCAGGCAGTGAATGCTTTTGAGGGACCCAGGGTTTCCTTAAGCAGGAAAGAGGCCGCGGGAACATGGATTATTGATGGAGCCTATCAGCGGCAGGCTGAGCCTGGCACAGGGGTCTGGCAGCACCGAGAGCCGGCTCGTCGGGGTCCAGTTCTTCCGGGGCAGCTGGCAGGACCCGCCAGACGAAAGGCACCTTCAGGCAAAGCTCTCCCGAAAGGACAAACCATCACCCACCCTGCAGTGAGCACCGCGAGCAGGGCTGCGGCCATCCCCGCAATTGCTCAGCTGGGTTGGCGCGGTGCTGGGGGGAGGACAGCCCCGCGGGAACAGCTGGAGAACATCTGGGGAAGGGAAAGCACCCGGCAGGGCAGAGCCAAGTCCAGCCTGACGGCCACGGTGCGTTGGGAAGGCTCCTGCTGACTGCTGGCAGCCCTCTCTCCCGAAAGCATCGGCGAGTAGGACGGGTGAGGAGGTGCCGCTGTGACTACGTGCCCTGAGCTTCTCACCCACATCCTGCCAGGAGACCTGACCCCGACACTGGCACCCTTCGGGGTGGCATGGGGGCGTGGGTGAGAGCAGCAGCGCTGCGAGGGCGCAGGGTGAGCCTGCCTGGCACAAGCCGCCATCGTCACCTCCCCCGGCGGTCCCCAGAGGTCCTGCCGCCACTGAGCTCTGCCAGGACCCCCACACCTCCCTTCTGCCCCACGGCCTGCGAGCCCCGGTGTTTCGTGGGGCCAAAACGCCTTCCCTGGGGCTCTCACCCCAGCACCCCCCACCACCTCGGCCATTCGGCCGCTCTTGCCCAGCCCGGTGGGAGCGTGGGGTGTCGGGGAGGTGAAGGCAACTGGAGCTGGCACAGCCCCGGCCCGTGCACCCCAGCAGTGAGGCGAGAGAGAAGGAGGCTGCCTGCCCCACCGCAGCCCCCCGCCCCCCTCCCCCAGGGGCTGGGGTCACAGCTTTGGCCGATCCACCCCAAATTTTGTCCCAAACCCACCCTGGGGTCTAGCTGCCCTGGCAGCCCCCCCCCTCCCCCCCAGAGCCACTGCTCCCCCCCACCGGGGACAGCCGGAGGAGGGATGCGGGGGACTGGCCGCAGGGGCGCGGGGGGGGGCTGTCCCCACCGTGCCGGGCGGTCACCCCCCCTTCCCTGCCCCGGTGACGGCGGGCAGCCTCTGCCCGGGGCCGGGGGGCTGCGGCGGCGGGGTCCTGCTGGCTGCCCGCTGCGGGGGCCGGTGCTGCCGGGGCACCGGGGGGACGGGGACCCCCTGAGCCCTCCTCTCGGAGCCCCGCGGCCCGGCGTCTTACGCCGGGCAAGGGGGGAGCCGGCGGGACCGGCCCCAGTACCCCCCGCCCAGCCGGTGCCGGTGCCCGGGCTCGGCTCCCCTCCCGCGGCCCCGGGAGCCCCGGCACCGAGCACCGGCTGCCGAGCCCTACCGTGCCGCGGCCCCGACGGCTGCGGAGGATCGCCGGTCGCCGTGCCCCTCCGCCGCGGGTACCGGGGCTCTGGGGACGCCGGGGCGCCGCCGGGGCACGGCGCGGCCCGAGGCCACGGGGACGGGCGCGGCCGGGAGCGCCGGGGTGGGACCGCAGCCCTTACCTGGGCCCGGCAGGCTGTGCCGGGAGCCGGTGCCGGTGCCGGGAGCCGGTGCGGCGGCTGCCTCGGAGCTGCGGCTGCCGCCGCCTCCCGCCGCCGCCTCTGACACTCCGCCAGCCCCAGCCGAGCGGAGCCGCTCCGCCCCCCGCCCGGCCCGGCCCGGCCCCCGCCCCGGCCCCGGCCCCGGCCCCGGCCCGGCCCGGCGGGCAGCGGCACCCCCGGGGCCGTCCCGCCTGCCCCCCGCCCGCTCCCGGCACCGCCGCGCCGGGCAGGGCACCGGCAGGGCCGGAGGCTGGCAGGGCTTGGGCAAAGCCGGGGAGGACACGGGTGGGGATGGCAGGGCACAGGGAGTGGGGGGGGAGGACACGGGGAGGGGTGGCAGGGCACAGGGAGTGGGGGGGAGGACACGGGGAGGGGTGGCAGGGCACAGGGAGTGGGGGGGGAGGACACGGGGAGGGGTGGCAGGGCACAGGGAGTGGGGGGGAGGACACGGGGAGGGGTGGCAGGGCACAGGGAGTGGGGGGGGAGGACACGGGGAGGGGTGGCAGGGCACAGGGAGTGGGGGGGGAGGACACGGGGAGGGGTGGCAGGGCACAGGGAGTGGGGGGCGAGGACACGGGGAGGGGTGGCAGGGCACAGGGAGTGGGGGGGAGGACACGGGGAGGGGTGGCAGGGCACAGGGAGTGGGGGGCGAGGACACGGGGAGGGGTGGCAGGGCACAGGGAGTGGGGGGGAGGACACGGGGAGGGGTGGCAGGGCACAGGGAGTGGGGGGGAGGACACGGGTGGGGATGGCAGGGCACAGGGAGTGGGGGGGAGGACACGGGGAGGGGTGGCAGGGCACAGGGAGTGGGGGGGAGGACACGGGGAGGGGTGGCAGGACAGACACAGGCAGCGCATGGCCAGATCCAGGCAGGACATAGCCAGAGAAGCCAGGGCACAGGCAGGACACGGCAAGGGATGGCCAGAGCCAGGCTGGGCAGAGGCAGGACACGGCCAGAGCAGGCAGGACCCTGCACAGACCCCACAGGGCACGGCTCCCCCAGCCCAGAACCCCCGGTTCAGACCCAGCCCAGTGAGAGGGGTCCCAGCCCCGGCTCCAGCTTCACAGTTGCAATCTGGTGCCCCCGGGGCCTTTCCCCCCTGTCCCGCACAGCCCCCCCCCAGCCTGCTCCCTGCTCCCTTAGCCCAGGGTGGGGGGCACCCCAGGGCCCAGCAACACCCCACTGACCCCCTGCACTCCATGCAGCTCCCGACACTCACCGTCGGCCCAAGCACCAAGCTGGGGGAAGACTTTGGACCACCCGATGACAGAGGCAGTGGCTGGATTTAGCGTTCCAGGTCTTCACCACTTGCCCAAACTCCTTCTGGAGCCATTGGGCTGCCCAGGACCCCGCCGTGCTGCGTTCCCCATCTGTCTCGCGCTGGCACCCCGGCTGTCCTGGAGAATTCTGTGACTCAAGGACAGGAACGGGACAGGGAATGACACAGGACTCACAGGGACGGGGCAGGCGTGCCTCTGGGGCAGCAGCCTGAGTAACCACCTCACCACCCCGTGCCTCAGTTTCCCCACTGCCAGCTGCTGTGCTTGCAGGCTGCGGGTTAGGGCACGGCAGCAAGAGTCAGACCCATTCTGTGTCCCCCTCGCCCAGCAGTCCTGATTTGGGGGGAGGGGGATAACCCAGGACCTTCATGGTAAGGTCCTCCCTGGGGTCCCACAGCACCAGGACCCCAGACCCCTCCCGCCCGTCTCCTTTCAGCTCAGACGAGCGGGGCAGTGGGGGGAGGAGGGTGATGGGGCTGGGGAACCCACAGAGAGCCAGGGTGGGCTGGAGACGTGCGGTGCTGAAGGATGCTGGCACTGCTAAGGTCCTGCTTCCCCCCCTCCCGGCAGATGGGACCTGGCAGGAGCGTCGCACGTGCCCCAGCACTGGCTGCATCCTCCCGGCTGCTGCTTCGGCGCTGCTGACAGCAGGAGGACGACGGCAAAGCCTCTCCGGTCCCCATCTTCGGTGGGGTTAGAGGACAAGCAGCGTTAGGATCCGCTGCCTGGCTCCAAGCCCCCTGGAGACTCAGCCAGGCATAAATATTTCAGGGGGGTTGGCAGTTTTGTAATAACCGGCAACAAAGATAAACACCGGGAAGAGCAATATTTTTCCATGTGGGTTGGAGGAGTTTAATATTTTATCACTCAGAGCACAAAATATTTATGAACAATTTCATGTCAATCACTGGCTGAGGACTAATCATGACCTTTCCAAGCCAGGGAGGACACGTCCCTACCACGGAGGGACAGCCAGACCTCCCCTGCCCCGTGCACCCCTACCCCAAGCCCTGGTTTTGGGCTGCCCTGTCTAACTGCTGAGGAACAAACCCCGGGCTGCCGGGGGCACCGGGGGCACCGGGGCAGGGCAGGGGCTGAGCTCTGCAAGGGGCTCCTGCAGCTGGCTTGGCCCCGGGACACCGTGGCAGTGATGTCCAGGCTGTTCCACCATCCCCAGCTGGGACAGGGAACTGGGACCAGCACGGGCAGCCCTCCCTGCCTGCACCCCACGGCTGCGGGACCGGGCAGATGGGATGCCGGGGAGGCACAGTGCAGGCAGGCTGGTCCCCCCCGCCACAGGAGGAGCACAGCGGCACCAGGCCCACCAGCAGCCCAGGGACCCGGCTTTACTGGTTTTACTTTCAGCAGGTTCCCAAGAGGAGTGGGGATGCCACCTCCCTCCAGCCCAGCCTGGCTCAGCTCCCTTCCCGCTCCCCCCACAGCCCGCAGAAGCTGGGGACACTCCCCACGGCCCTGCTGGGTTGCCCCGGCAGGGAGCAAGCGCAAGCAGCAGGGATGCAGAACCCTCGGGCAGCTCCCGGCTCGGTCAGGGGGCAGCTCACCAGCAGCCTCCGCCCGCAGCCCCCTCCCCACCACGGGGCAGGACGGCGCGATGGGCCAAGAGGCAGTCAGCAATGCCACCGGCCACCAGTGAGGAAAAGCATCCACTTTATTACAGACCCCAAAAGCGCCCGTGGCAGTGCCAGGAGGACCAGGTTTACACGGGATGTTTCCATTTTTCAGCAAGGGGAAGAGAAGAGGAGAACAAACCCAACCGTCTCTACTCACAGCTCTTTGGTGCTTGAAAACACGCGGCTGTGCGGCAGAGAGAAGCTGTGGGTGAGAGGGGCACCGGCAGAGGTGAGGGGGGACACCTCTGCCACTCACCACAACCCCCTCCGAGATGCCTGCGAGGAATTTGCGACGCATCCAGAGACACACAAACAGCAAATGCATTTCGCTGGCCCCCCCAGCCTGCACCTACCCTGCACCACCAAGCACGGCAGGAGACCCCTCCCCACCTCCCGGTGTCCCTGAAATGGTCAAACACCCTTTCTGCAGAGAGGGAGAGCGGGTCCTGGGGGGAATCAGCGATCAAAATCTCTTGGCTGGAGAGGAAGGAGGTGGGAAAGGCAACCAGTTCCCAGTAACTCAGACTCCGGCGGGAGGAGAGGCAGCCAGGTCCCCGCTTCACTCTTCTCCTCTCTCGGCAGCGATGGGCTCCTTGGTCCACTTGTCTGTGACCTCCTGGTTGCCCGTGTAGCCCACGTCGGGCTGCAGGCCTGGGGCTCCCTCCCCGTCCCCGGTGACCTCCAGGTCCAGCTCCTCAAAGGAGGAGCCGCTGGCTCCCGACTCGCTGTAGCTGTGCTCGCTGCGGTTGTCCGCCTCCTCCCGGCCGCGGCTGGCTGGGAAGGGCAGCAGGATGGAGGTGGCCACCGAGGTGTCTCTGCTGTCGGTTGTGGTCTCTATGCTGATGGAGCTCGCCTCACTCATGGTGTCGGCCCCTGGGGTGGAGAGAGAAAGGGAGGGAGTGAATGCTGCGGGAAGGAGGCAAGAGCGATGGGGGGGCCACAGCCTTCAAAGCCACCAGAAACCTCAGAGATGCCAGGCCACAGTGGAGACCAGGCTCCTCTCTCTTGTCACCTCCTGTGTCTTTGAGAAGTGACTGGCCCAAGACAAGCACGAGCTGGACTCAAGCAGCTCCCCTGAAATCAGGGCACCCCCAATGCCAGAACAACCCACCCCCCAGATTCCCGGCCGTGCCCTGACGTCCTGGCAGTGCCCTGGCCCCACTGCTGCTCTCCTCAGGACCTGGGAAGCCTGTTCTGTAAGGAGAATGCCCGGCCTGGGAGCTGGGGGACAGCCCTGCCCCCGGCACAGCACCAGGAACGAGGTGAGGAGCAGGACGCTGCGCTGCGAGGGCGATGGGGAGCGCCAGCATCGCTTGAGCACCAAGGGGATGGTGGCACACGGGCAGGTCCTCGGATGTGCCGTTGTCAGAGGTGGGTGTACGTCCAGCCTCGGGCCAGGGCATCCTAGTGCTGCCTCCAGCACCCCCCACAACCCGCTCCCGCTCACTGCGCGGCTCCTCCGCGGCCGGCAGCTCCGGCAGCAGTGTGAAGGCAGGCCGGGCAGTGGCAGCCGGGACTTGGGGTGCTAGAGGATGGGGGGAGCCTTGCCAGCTCGCTCGGCACTTCTCCACGTCACCCGGCTGCCAGCCCACACCCCCCTCTCGTGGCTGAGCCCCCCTGGGGGGCTGCCCCTGCCTGCCCAAGCGGGCCCCTCGCCCCCTCCCTGGATCCCCGCCTCGTTAGCTCGGTCGACAACACAATTAAGGAGTCGACGACGAGACGAGCGTGTCAGATTGAGACCAGCAGCTCGGTGCTGTTGCCAGAGCAACCAGCCGGGAGACAAAACCCTCCTGTAAAACATTAATCATTGTTAATTGTGACGTCACAGATCCAGGCGGTTAATTATGACATCACGGATCCGCATCGCTGATTACGACGTCGCAGGCCCGCGCTGTTAATTACGACAGCGGCAGCAAGCCGCTGGGCGGGCTCCTCCGTCGCAGCCCTCCTGCCCGTTCCACGCTCCTCCCGCCCGCCTCGCACCGGCGGGGAGCACGTGCCGCGCTCGGCCACTTCCCGGCCCCTCGGCTCCCCCGGGGCTACGTCCCCGGGGCCTGACGCCCCTGCCCGGGGATCACACCCCACACCAGGGGGGAAAAACCAGGAGGAGCCCTGCTCGGCAGCCGGCACCAGCGGGGATCCCCGGGAAGCGGACG